ATCTTACAAAGTGTAACTTATGCTTGAGTCGGTGACCACTCAGTCGGGCTGTTGCTCTCATCACAGTCAGAACGTGTGGTCTAGAATCACACAGGTAGGCAGGGCAGCTCCTCTCCATCACCGCCGGTCGCCCACTGGGACACTTTGCCCCCTGCCCCTCAGCTCTGACCTCTGCAGGTCTGGGTTTTCAAGGAAGGAGTGCTTCACCAGGGAACACAGCAGTGGTTCCATTATGACAGAAACTGGAACAGTCTGGTCACTTTACCGCAAAACCAACGGTTTACTCTCCTGGCTGATGCACATGTTCTTGGGCACAAAGAGGCGTTTGTGTTACTGCCACACAAAGGGTGTTGGAGAAGAGTGCCTGGGAGCCAGAGCATTCTGTAGGGCTTCTTTCATGTCCAAAGACAAATAGCAATGGGAAACTATAGCCACAGAGGTGGGTATGACTTCAAGCCTTTAGGCAGTGAAGTTTGGGTCACCCTACCAGGTGTCACCCCCGAGCAGTTGAGATGCGGCTGGGTTAAAAGGAAACGTGGAATGTGTAGGGAAAGAATGAAGTTTATGAACTATGGCCTTGTGACCAATCGGAGAAACACATTACCGAGAGGTTAGGCGTGTTGTCCTCCTCGGTTGCGTGTGTCCTAAGTTCCCTCACATCCTTCCTCTTTATTATCGTGCACATTTTTAGAGGATTAAGTCTGCTGTTGAGTCACGAGGTAACTAACAGGAGGTGAGATGAATAGTGGGACTGCCTCCTAGAAACTGACACAGTGCGCTGGGATTCTACCTCCTCGTTTTGGAGAGTGAGTGAGAATGTCTGTGCAAATGGAGGCCGGCCTGCAGCACAGGCAGCTCTGCTAATGGCTGGAGCCACAAACATCCCCGGCTCCGTTCTTAAAATGGGGGCCACTGCGGACTCTTTGCTTCCTAGTCCTTCATCACCCCCAGAACACCTCTTCACCATAGCAAAGGCTGGTGTTTCAGTCACAGTCGTTGATACCCCCGCCCCTGGCCCACAGGGCCCCCCACTCAGCTCAGAGACACTGGTTTTAATTAAGCAGCAACTTATTAGAGGTCTTGAGTTAGCCCTCCCTGGTGCCCTCCCTGCTTTTAAAATTGAATGATTTCAGCCTCTTCCCTCAGAGCAGCTTCCTGCACGATCCCTTTAGTGTTCCCTTTTCACCTCTGTACTTGTCCCATCCCAATTAGCAGTTCTTTATATGAATTTCCCCTCTTAAAATAAGGGTAGCTTTTATCTCCTGACTAGTTTTTGACTAAGACAGACTCATCCTAAAGCGGTAATACCTGTGAAATCATAGGTTTGGTGGGCTTGAAATGCTTCCTCTTCTGATGTGCAGTCAGGTTTAGAGCTAGTAAAGTAAAAATGTTCAGCCATTTACCATCCTGGAAGTTACCTCACATGCCCAGTAGCTAGCATACCCCTTTCTGGGAAACACTGCCCCGGCGCAGTGATGCCCATCAGCGTGGTTGCTGAGGCGTTCACGTTCATCTTGGCTGTCCAGCTGCTGTCCTCTGGGGTAGGGACTATATCTTAACCTTTTTTTTTTTAACTTGCCCTGCACCTAGCAAGGGATGTGGCTCATATTAAAGCTTTTAGTAAATGTCTCTTCAGTGAATGGAAAAATGAGTAAATATTAGATGGATTATGTGGAAGCTAATTGGCCTACAAATCCTATCTAGACCACAGTGCTATGGAAATCAACCAAGTGAGAAGACAAAGACCGTTTATTCTGTACTTGCTATATGGCAAGGGATTCAGCCACCATCATAGGTGTTTGGGCAAGACTCAAAGGCAGGGAGAGGAGTGGGAAGGCTTCATAATGGAAAAAGGAATGGCTTCAAGCATGCCCAGATTGGAAGCTGTTGGCACAGGGAAGCTGTAGGCTGCTAACCAGAAGGGGGGCATCCTGTGTGATTGGGTAGGAATGCATATTCTGACTTTTCTCTAGTTGGTACTAAATTGGAAGCCGGGACAAAAATTAGGGAAGCTGTCAGTTATTAATCAGGTCCTGACCATTCTGGACCGGTTGTTATGGAAGTTTACGGTTCAGCCTCCTGGACTGTCCCTGCGGACAACCATCTGGCCTCCTGCCAGGTCTGCCTTCTCACAGGCTGGCTTCTTCAGTTCACTGTGAATAAAGGATTTATTTGGGGATCAGGCTGCTGTAGATTCTGGATCACAGTCCTGTTTGTGTGTGTGGTCTGGCCATGGTAGAGTCAGTCTCAGGGCTTAGGTTTATTTCTGATCATACTATAACACACGTTCGATCATGGTGTTGTGGAAATGGGCACCTGTTTTAAGAATCGAGCCGGGCATGTTTGTGGCTCCAGCCATTAGCAGAGCTGCCTGTGCTGCAGGCCGGCCTTCAGCAGTGAGTATCGCAGAGACAAGGCCACCAAATCAGGCAATTGAGACCTTTGCCATCCCAGATCTTGGAGAAGAAAATTGAATACAATTGGCTAGTGCATATAAAATTCAATTAAAAAAATAATCTTCATTTCAGTCATGGATATACTTGATCAAAGTAGACTCTTTGGGGACAGCATGTGGATACAGTTGCAATAGTAGTTTCAAGAAAATCCCTAGAGAATTTCACTTTTTAATAGGCCTTTTATGAAGATACCCATTTCCCCACTTGCTTGGGGGTAAGTTTTCTCAAACCTGGCTTTAGAGAGCACACGGGTATCGTATTTGAGTACAGGGTGTGTTGGCAGCTTCACAGAGAGTCTGTGGTCTGACCTGCCCTCTCCCTGTAGGAATAGCCTGACATAAACAGTTTATTAGAATTACTTAATGGCTCTGTAAGCTCTTGTAGAACAATAAGCTCACAACACAGTAATTTAGCATTTTAATTTCAATATGCGTTACATTCAACCCACACATGTACTCTGCTGAGCTGTTTGGACAAAGAGGATTCCACAAACCAACAGCTCAATTTTATATCCTACCGTTGCCTTCCAACATACTTGGCTTGTTTTCCATGTGGCCCTGTGTTTTCATTTTCCCCAGGAAAAAAGATTCACTGGGTTTCAGGATATTTGTTGTAAAGATGAGGAGTCCCTCGACCAGCTTATACAAAATCACACTGTTCTCCTTAAGGAATATTTAACCTGGATGAAGTCTCTTGCTAATATCTATTCCATCAACATTGGATGGATGGGAGAGAATTCTGCCTGCACGTGAGTAGCAGTGCTAACACTGTTACTGCAAAATTGAAGCAAGATCAAACAAGACCACTGAGGTAATGATGATGACAGTCTGAGAAACATTGGCAGACCCTGGCTTCCAGGCTTCTCTCCCTCTTCTCCCGTGGCAGGTACAGCCACATCCGCCTCAGACCTCTGCCCTGATCATGGTCCCTGATGGTCACTTCGCCATGTTAAACACCTGCATCAAATGGATTCTGTCCTTGAACCTGACACTTCCCTGCTCCCACCTCGGATTCTTATATAACCTCACTGGGAGGGCCACAAGTCAAAAATGGGGAATAACATAAGAACAAATCTGCAGTTCGAACAGATACCACAGTAACACAAAACCTGAGCCACACCAGGAGTGTGGGCCACAAACCCACACTTTATCATTGGAGATCCTATCAGGTGTTTAATCTAGAAGGGGGCTAATAAGTGTGGGAACAAGATGTTAGCTGGAGGAAAACAGCAATCATTGTTTGCTCTGATGATTGTTCCCCAAAAGAATAACAACTGTGATGTCCCTGTGAATGAATCGGTCTGTCATCAAATGCCAACCGTGTGTCAGAAACAATTCTGACATTCATTTGTTTAACAAATACTGAGTTCTGACACTTGGCCAGGCACTGACCTATGGGCTGGGGATGCAGTAAATTATCTCTGTTTTCCCATGAAGATACTGAGGAACAGAGACATTGAGTAACTTGCCCAATGTCACACAACTTTGAAGGGCTATGTCAGGGTTTGAACCCAGATCTGACCTCAAAGCCCACACTCTTTTTCATATGTTACGCTGTAGGGGAAAGCAAAAGAATAAAATTGGGAAACAGACGAAATAGCCTGGCCCTATAAGACCCTAAGTTTTTTCTAAACAGTCTGTCAGAAACATACTATACTCCCTGGCATTTTTAATTCTCCTTTTTTTATAAACATACTTTTTATAGATGATGGCAATTAAATTCACACCAACAGCCAGTTTTCAATACAAGTGATGATTGATTTTGTAAGTAGGGTATTCTCCATATTAGTGATCCCATATTAAGAAAATTTGTATATGTGCATCTATGGTAACAAAAAATAAATGGGAACACAATGATTCGATGAGTACTCACTTGAAGTACAGCCATATGTCCTCACATACTCCTGTGGGTCATATTCTGTAAAATATCCAGTGAGGGATTATGCCTCACTCTTTGTCTGGTTCCAACCCCAAGTCCTCATGCAGGGATTTGTAAAGAGTGTATGTATAGTAGATAATAGTGAACTGAATGAAATTTTTTTCCTATTTACCCAACTTTACATAAATATTTTTAGTCACTCTTGTCTGAGAATTCACCTAACAAATATTGCACTACCCAGAGATTTTGCATACTTTACTGTGTTGCAAGATATTTCTATAGGCAGGCATATATTCACAACTCAAACTCAAAACTGAACTCCTCAGCTGTTACAGCCTCAAGAGTAATGGAGTAGAAGTCAGTCTTTTCCCCAAAAGGTCAGAATGATAAATTACTAGTCTGGAATGGACCGTTCACTTCTAATTTAATCCAGGAACCAAACTGTACTCTCTTCTGTCAAGTGGAAGATGCAGGGAGGGCATCTGAGAGTGCTGCTTCCTAGACATTAACTCCAGGTCCAGCAGCAACCGGTAAGGATGAGCCGGCGAAAGTCCCAGGCAGAATGTTAAAAGTGACAGTTGTCTTCCTCTAACTGCTTTGGTAAAATACAAGATACATAGACTCCAGAAGGAACTGTCTTAGTTTTGCAGCAGATTTAGAGAAAATTCCCAAGCTGGTCCTAGTAAGCAGAAGCTTTCAAAGTAAGAAAAGGCAAAGATCAAACATGGAGTGTTGTCAATAAAATTGGTCTTAGGATAAATTTTGAGGTAAATCCTCAAAGTCAAGTATACCTGGCTTTTGCTCAACATAATATATTGGAATTGATCCATGTTGCATGTTTCTGTAGTTTGATCCTTTTTGTGCTGAACAGTATTCTATACTATGACTATACCAACATTTATTTTATCCATCTGTTAAGACCATTTTCTGATTTTGAGATGTCAGAAAGATTTAAGGGTTTCTCTCCTAGACCCTCTTCATTCCACAAGAGAGATTCTAAGGATCTTAAGGGCACTGTCAGTCCTGGGGGTAGTTTGTTATGTAGCAATATGTAATAGAAATATCAACTTTAAAACGTTTGCCAATCTTACATGTACAAGGTGTGACATCTCAGTAGGGCTTCTTTTATGTGCATTTCTCTGGCTACTATGAGTTTGAAAAGCTTTATTTGAATCCCTATGAATCCCTCATGGCCCAGGTAAATTGGATGACAAGGTTTGGAAGGAGGAGAGAAAAATATATTTCTCTGAATCATCCAGGAGAAATCACCTGTATGGGATAAACTATGGTGCAGATACTGCTGAGAGAAATTTCAAGGAAGAAAATAAACCGAGAATGTTAAGTTGCAGGCTGGAGTTCTTCCACTGGACTGTGGTAACACCATAGCTGCTTTCAGAAGAATCGCCTGGCACATTACAGCTTTTCTCTCTTTGATTCTGGGCAAATTGGCATCTGGATTTTTAGAAATTACAATCCGCATGGTCAAATGTGTGATTCTGACATTGCTCCCGTCATCTGTAGCAGAAGTGGCCGAAGCATCAAAGAGCCCACGTCAGGAATCGAGCAGGAAACCACTGGATTAGAACCCTCTAATGGGAAGAGAAAGGCTGAAATCATTTATCCTTCTGTTGAGGCGGAGACAGCTGGACGATGGCAGAGGGCTTCAGTACACCCTCCAGCACCCGTGGGTTGGAAGGTAACAATTTGCAAATCAGAAATTGGGTATTTCCTTTGGGTATACCAGGGAGCAGAAGAGCAAAATTAACGAACACCTGAAGTCGTCCTGAGCTTACTTCTCAAAAGTGAAGAGATTACAAAAAACAAGCCCACTAAGTAGATGCCACTGATTGCAGAGGAGGGAGAAAGTAGTCATTAGGAACTCAGAAAAGCTCTCTGGGGAATGAATTACGCACACTTGGAGTTTATGGACTTTCATACTTAAAAGTGTTAGAATTAGTGCTGACTTATTCCAGAAAGTCATGTTTATGTAAATTCTGATTATTAAAAACCCAAATATAAACTCTAAGTAAAAAATTATTAGTTTCCTTCATGAAGAACATGCACCTTCATTCTTAAGAAAGAAAGAAAGGGAGGGAGGAAGAAAAACGGAAAAGCTCTTTCTTCATCAAACTTCCCTGAGATGGGTTCAAGGAAAAAGTTAAGATTAGCTTCAAGTTGAAGATTAAATTTTTAAAAAACCCCTTTAAAAGGTTGGGACCAAATCTTCAGCTTGTAGATGGTTTATTTTGATGCTCTGTCAACTGGTAAAATGAACTGTTATTAGTAAACCTTAAAGGACAGCCGTCCCCCTTATCCATGGTTTTAGTTTTCACAGTTTCAATTACCCCAAAGAAGATGATCGTCCCATAGGACATGATGACTACGCCATTCCCCTCCCTCAACTCATCACGCTGGCATTTTTCATCCTACGTCATCACAGGAAGGGTAAGTACGGTGCAATAAGATTTTGAGAGAGACCCCACATAACTTCTATTACAGTATATTGTTACAATTCTATTTTTAGTTACTGTTAGTCTCCCATTATGTCTAGTTTATAAATTAAACTCTGTCATAGGCATGTATATATAGCAAAAGCAGAATATATGGGGTTTGCTACTATGTGGTTTGAGCATCCAATGGAGTCTTGGAATACATCCCTTGTGGATAAGGGGGACTGCTGTATAATGTACATACAATAAGATGCACCCATTTTAAGTGTAATTTTGATGAGTTTTGACAAGTATATTCACCTAGGTAACCATTGCCACCCTAGAAAGTTCCCTCCTGCCTGTCCTGAGTCAATTTCCAGTCCCCTATCTTCAGCAACCACTGATCTGTTTCTGTCATATTAGTTTCCTGTTCTGAAATATCCTAAAAATGAAATCTTAACAGTCTGTATTTTTTATACCTGACTTCACTTGCTCAACGTAATGTTTTGAAATTTATCCATGTTGCATGTTTCTGTAGTTTGATCCTTTTTGTGCTGACTTAGTATTCTATACTATGACTATACCAACATTTATTTTATACATCTGTTAATGGTCTTGTGGCTCTCAAGTTTTTGTGCTATCGTAAATAAAGATGTTATAAACATTTGTGTAAGTGTTTGTGAAAATATATTTCCATTTATCTTGGCTTAATGCCTAGAATGCAATTGCTGGATCTTGTAGGGTGTGCTTCTTTTGATAAAGAAGGTTTTCCAAAGTGAGTATACCATTTTAGCTTCTATCTTCAAATGAGAGGTCCATTTGCCCCTTATCTTCATCATGACTTGTTATTGTCAGTCTTTTTGTTGTTAGCTATTCAGCTATTTCAGTGGGTGTATGGTGGTGCCTCAGCAGTAATTTAATTTGTACTTCCCAGCTGAGCAATACTGTTGCACATGTCCTCACGTGCTCATTGGTTACTCTCTCTTCTATTGTGAAGTCTGTTCAACAATTTTGCTCCTTTTAAAAATCTGATTGTCTTCTTACTGAGTAGCAAATACTTAAATATTTTGGATACAGGTCCTCTGCCAGACATGTGTTTCCAGTAGATCTTTCTAGGTTTTATTTCTCATAATCTCAATGCTGTTTTTTTTTTTTCAAAGAGCAGATGGTTTTAGTAGAAGTCCTACTAATTAAATTCTCTTCTTGGTGTGTTTGTGTTTTATCCTTGCCTACCTGAACATTAAGATGATTTTCTTCTTAAAAGTATATAGTCTTAACTATTATGTCTGTAATTCATTTTGCAGTTGTTTGTGTTTATTGTATAAGGAAGGGGCTGAGATTCTTTTCTCTTTCTTTCCCAAACAGATGTCCAGTTTCTCCACCACTCCTTGTTAAAAGATTGTCCTTTCCCCTACTGAAATCCTTGGCACTAATGCTGTTATTATAGGGTGTTGGGTTTTTGGGTCTTTTTGTTCTCTGTTCTTTGCCATGTATCCATATGCTTATCTTATTGGCCCTTCTTCATGACTACAGCTTTAAGTCTTGAAGTCCTGTAGTGTGTTTGTCCATCTTTGTTCTTCCTTTTCAAATTGTTTTGGCTCTTCTAGGCCTTTACAATTATATTAAGCTTCAGAGTCAATATGTCCGTTTCTACAAGCAAAGCCTTTTGTGAATTTCTTTGAGATACCATTGACTCTGTAGGTCAATATGGAGAATTGACATTGTAAAAATTATTGAGTGTTCCAATCCATGAACCTGGTATTTTTCTCCATTTGTTTTAGTTCTTTAATTTCTCTGAGCAAATTTTCTTGTAGTTTTTCGTGTATGTTGTTATGGATCTTTCACATGTTAAATTTATTCTTATGTACCTCAAAATTTGGGGTGCTTTTGTAAGTAACAATTAAAATTTAGTTTTTTAATTGTTTATTACTAGTATTCAGAAATACAATAGATATTTGTAATACTGTATCTTACAATTTTGCTAAATACACTTAATAGTACTTGTGGGTTTGAATTTGGGGGATTTTTTTGTAGATTATTTGGATTTCCTGTGAGCATCATCATGTTTCTATGAATAGGCAATTTTACTTATTTCCAATCTGTATGCCTTTTATTTCCTTTTCTTGCTTTATTGAACTTGTTAGTTCTTCCAGTTCAATGTTAAATGGAAGTGGTAGGAGTGGACATTCTTGCCTTAGTTTCAGTCTTAGAAACCTTTCTTCTGAAATAGCTAGGACATGTCATCAATGAGGGTTGGATAAACCAGAGAACAAACAGAAAATTTCAGGAAACAAAGTCATGCCAGAATGTTGGGTTAGTCGCTGCACCATTCCTGCCAGAACTGCAACAGCTTTGGGGTTGGTGACCGGAGAGATGTCGGTCAAGGGTTTATGGCTCCTTGCCCTTTATTCTGGGGACATTGACATCAAGATTTTTTGAACTGCCAAATTTAAAAGTCTGAAGTTGCTTCTCTCATTCCAAACCAGTGTGGACATAGGCACCTGAGGTGTCCAGCATTGAACTCAGAAAGCTTGTTGGTGAAATTTGTCCTGATGATAGAGGCAGAGACACCTGGGATGTTAGCAGCGCAGATGACAGATGGCCTGAAAACCAGCACCCATTCATCACTGGCAGACAGCAACTTTCAAATCAGAAATTGGATCATTTCTGAGTTTTAATACATAGCAGCTGGAGAGCAAAATTGAGGAAAGCTGGAAGTCTCCCTGACTTACTCCTCCTCAGAGGTAATCAGATCCAGAAGTTTTTTGGTTATTTTTTTAATCATTAAATAGATTCCAGTGGTTTCAAATACACAAGATGATAATTATAAAGCAAAGAAGAACTTTGTTGAATATGAATTATGTAGGTCGGCAACATATTGACTTAAAAGTTAAATTGCTAGAATTAGTACGATCTTCATTCAGAAATTCTAATTCTAAAGTACTTTCAGTTCACAGAATCTAGTGTAGCCTAGCTTACTCTTGCTCTCTTGTTAAAGAGTAAACGAAAATAACGGAAAGTGAGGGGAGGAAGGAAGGAGAGAGGAGAGAAGGGGGAATAAAGGAAGTAAATAAGGAAACAAGAAAAGGAAGCAAGGGAGGAGGGGGCCATCGAGAGGACAAAGAGCTTTCAGTCCTTCTGTGCTTTGTCTAAATATCTGATCCACACGGTCGTAAGAAATACTGCAGTTCTAAGGTTTAGGGCAGTTTGTAAGCAGGCAACAAATATCTGAGAAAGTAGACAAACTGGGAAATGGGCCTACAAACGTAGTAGTACTGATTAACTTTCCATCAGCTGTTTTCCGTCAAACAACTGCTGATTTAGTTGCTGCACATTGAAGTTTCAGTCCCAACCACTGCTTCCGGGGGACTCAGATTGAGATGGCAACCCTGAACCAGGCACTTGAACAGTCGTTATTGATACTATAAGGACAGATAGACAGATGATAGACAAGAATGAGAGGTACACTGATAGACAAAAGGATGAGTGGATGGATAGGTGGGTGGATAGTTAATATATAAAATGAACAGGAGAAAGGAGCACAGAAATTTTTATCTGGAAAGTTCATATTGATTAAGTTCATATTTTCTTGACGAATGTATAAAAATTGCAGATTGCATTTATTTTCTTTAAAAGATCTTTAATGTGAAAAATTTCAAACCTGTGCAAAAGGAGACAGAATAGTATCATAAATTTCCATGTGCCCATTTTTTATCTTCAACAATTATCTATTTATAACTGCCTTATGACATTTCCACCCACTTAACCTACTCTATATTAATTGGATCTCAAATGTGATACCATTTCATGAAAATATTTTAGTATATATGTCTAAAAGATAAGGGCTTTTAAAATAACCATTATCACATGTAAAGTAATTAACAATTTCTTAATATCATAAAATATCCAGTGTTTAATTTTCCAAGTGTCTAATAAATGTCATTTTTTATAGTTTGTTTACTTAAATTGAGATTAAAATAAGGTTTCTACATTGTGACACATTAATGTTTCTTTTAATTATCTTCTTACCTGTAGTTTCCATATTGTTTCCCTCTTTTCCTTGCAGTGTATTTGTTGCAATAATTACTTGATATATTTTAATTTAAAAGTACTTGGCCAAATCTAATGCAAATTATATTTTGCTTCCTATGAATCATGCAATTTATAGCCTGGAGTTAAGCCAGTGCTTTGATATGATTTATTCTTTTCTGCAGAGCAGTGTCAGAAACTTTCACTTATATTGTGGAAGGCATTCTCAAAATATAAATACTTGGAGGCTATGGAAACAGGCATACCTATATGAAAGTAAAATCAAGACCTCTCAGAAGCTGGATAAGCAAAGAGAATGAGAAAGGCAGCAATAAATGCCAAGTTAATGTTTAAATGTGGAAATTGATCATGTTTGAATTGAAAATGCTTCTATGGTTTTCCATCACAGAGAATAACCCCCAGACTCCTTACCCTGGCCCTGTGTGACCTCGACCTGCCTTTGCATCTCACCTTACGAGCTTTCCCTCACCCTTACAAGGCTGCAGTCCCAGGGCCTTCCCTCCAAACCTTTCACCACAGTAGGTTTCTGCAAGTGCTCTTTTCTCTGCCTAGCTAGTGTTCCTGACTAAACATGTCTGCTCAAGGTAGAGGCCTACCTAGATACAGGACTACTCCCCAAACCAAAACACAAACAACGAAATGTTCAGTGGCCACCAAGGACACTTAGCCACAGTAATAAGCAGAAATCAAAACTCTGTGTGGCCTGGGAACACAACATGGCACAGCCACTATGGAAGACAGTTTGGCAATTTTTTACAAAATTAAACATGCTCTTATCATATGACCCAGCAATTAATTGCCCTCCTTGATATTTCCCAAAGGAGCTGAAAACTTATGTTCAACATGAAAACCTGCACATGCTGTTCACAGCAATTTATTCATAATTGCCAAATCTCAGAAGCAACTTCAACAGGTGAATGGATAAATAGACGGTGGTATGTGTAGACACTGGAATACTATTCAGCACTAAAAAGGAATGAGCTGTCAAGCCATAAAAAGACATGGAGGAAACTTAAATGCATACTACTAAGTAAAAGAAGGCTACTGATTCCAACTTCATGACATTCTGGAAAAGGCAAAATCATGTAAACAGTTAAAAGATCAATGGTTTCCAGAAGTTGGGGGAAGGGAAATGAAGCAGAAGGGATTTAGGGGGCAGTAAATATACTCAGTAATGATGCTGTGACACTACTATATGCTATTATATATTTGTATAATGTATAGAGTGTACAACACCAAGAGTGAAGCCTAAGGTAAACTGTGGACTTTAGGTGATGGTGTTGTGTCAGTGTAGGTTCATCAACTGTAGTGAACTTCAGCATGTGGGGGGGATGCTGATAACGTGGGAGGCTCTGCATGTGTTGGGGAGGGGCCATATGGGGAATCTCTACTTTCCCCTCATTTTTGCTCTAAACCAAAAACTGCTCTATAAAAAATTGCCTAAAAACAAAAAACTGCTTCATGTGTGGATCTAGACAAGATAAATTCTTTGGGAGCTAGACCTTGAATTCATGTTTAAAATGGAATCACTTTTGATGATAGTTCATTTGAGTGCAGAATTCTGGAAGGAAATTTGTGTTCACAGATCCAGAAATCAACAAGAGCTATTCTTCACAGACCCTCCCTGAAAAAAATATTAAAGAATGGACTTAGGAAAATGCAGAGTTGTGTCATGCAAGAGTTAGTGGGCATCTGTGGGCTTCTCTCCCTAAGCCCCTGCCTGTCTGCCAGCCTCCAGCTTTCCTGACACCAACTTACTACCTGAAACTGTATTGCACCATGTTGGTTTGGGGCAGGATGGGGGCCTGCCCTGGATATAGGGGCTCTGTTGAACAGTGCCTGACCCCAGGCACCTGTTGCCTGACCAGATCCCCCCAGTGCTGCTGCTCACCCCACACCACCCAGGCCTCCAAAAGCCTTGACCCTGTACCCCCACCTCCAAATGAACCATTCTCAAGCCTTGCAAATACTGCCCATGAAAGGTCCAGCCTGCTGGTGAGGGACAGGAGAGAGCCCAGAGGGGTTTCTGCAAGAACTGAGGCCCCTGTCAGCTCTGCTTATTCCTACGTCCCCAGGACAGAGCTGGATCTGGAGCCCCGCCATAGCTGCTTAGGCTGGGCCTGACCTGCTTACCCATTTGGCCTTACTTCCTGTCCCTCTGTTTGTCTGTTGGTCTATTCCTGGGAAGCTCATCTGGGCCCTGCCACCTTCCCAGTTTTTCCCATGCTATTATCCATAAACTGATCTCTTATTTTTTTTAAAAAATCAAAGATTAGAACTAGGGGAAAAAGGTAGCATCAAAGCTGGATGACTGCCTTCTCCAGTTGCTACTTGCTTATCCCCTTGAATCTGCTGCTAACAGGACATTGCAGTATGCATCCTAAGAAGGGGATGACAAAGTGTACTTGGAGATCACAGAACTGGGCAAGCCTGACATGCATCGTTGTACAGGTTGTGCATTTCACAGCATACCCTGCTGAGGCAGTAAGAGGCCTGAAATCCTGCCTTTAGTCCCCTTACCAAGCCATGCATTCTTGTGACTGTATCCATCTGGCAGACTATTGGTTAAACTGTTTACTGATTTGCAGAAGGTGCCATCAAGGATAGCATCTATGCTAAAACTTGGCCTCGGGAAGATCAGAGGGGACATTGACTTTGGATGGACTCAGAAGCCCTACAGTGTTCAGGACCTTGAAGTCCCAGAAGGCCAGAGCGAAGCATTTCACAGGCTTCTCTAAGTAGGTATGAAAGAAGGCAGCCTCCAGGCACGAGCCAGCTTTCACTAAGGCCCGCTTCTGAAGTTCAGCCAGCTAAATGGCATAAAATCAGCTATAACCCCCGCCTGGCAAGTTCCATCTATCCATTCAGCTTTGGCCTGAGATATTCCCTCTCAGTCCTCTGCTACCTGGCTTGGATTCAGGTATTTCAAAACAAATTATCAGATCAAACTGATTCTGTGACTTGTCATCTCAGACCAGAACACATGCTCCAACTTGTGGTCCAGGGCCTGTGGACCTGGGTGCTGAGCCCTAGGTTAGGGCTGACTTTATGATCAGGTCTGGTCAGAACTGTGTGTCCCCCACAGATGTCAGATGGGGGATTAGAGTCACTTCTTTTGAGAGCCTAGGATTAAAATAACTTGAGCAGCCTGAAGTGTCAAGCAGTGACGTTCAGAGGAGAGCTGTCACCCTCATGACAGCTCCTGGGGCCGGTTGCCAAGGGTTTCATCCTTCATTGGCTTCTTTTCAGAAGAACCAGTGGCCGTTGGCTTGGTGGTTGTAGACCTGGTGTGAAACAGCTAAAATTAAGAACCCCTTGTTATGGGCAAATAAGTCTCCCTCGAACTTAATAGCACTGAGGAAATTTCCATCAAACGTTTCCACCAAACAACTATTTATTTAGTGGCTGCATGTTTATCTTCCCCGGTATACTGTCGATTCCCAGGAGAGCAGGGATCGATCTGACTTGTTCCCAGATATGCCCCCAGTGCCTAGCACCACACCTGGCACTTGGTAGGAACTCAAGAAAAACTTGTTCGGGCGGAGGAGTTGCTAATGCAGTGGCTGTGCAGGGAAAGAAAACCTAAGGTGTGGGGTTGAAGCAGGCCTACTTCCTTTGAACAGTGTGGGTTGGGTGGGCAAAGGGGACAGCCATGATCTAGTTTGGCATTTGTACCCCCAGGGCAGATCAGAGAGAGCGGAGTGGCCAGGAATCACAGAGCAGAAACATCCAGGCTCCAGTTGGGGTGTGTGAGGTACACACTGTACAAAATGCTGTTTCTTGCCTTACAGTTGACTTTGTCCGGCATTGGTAGGGCCATACCAACTTCCTTATGAATAGTGTTTGCATAGTATCTCTTTTTTATCTTCTCACTTTCGATCTTAGGATGTTTTACTTGATGACATTCTCATTTTCAAAGTCTTTGTGGACAAAGGCCGTCAGAAGTCTGAGGAAGGGAAGGTCTTGGTACAGCTCTGTGTCCTACATGGTGAGTCCTGGAGGGACAGGGGCTTCTTTATGTCGGCCCCACTCCTGCCTCCCACAGCTTCTCTTCAGAGGCTCCCAAGGTGGGGTTGTCTCCCATCTCTCAACAAGGCAGGAATTTCACCCCCAGTTAACAGTGAAGCAGAAGCCACAGAACACAAGACAGAAATGGGCTGCATCTTCCGCTTTCCCTCTGCTGCATATGCATCCCGGTGTCGAGCGCTACCCGCTCGGCTTCCAGCCTCTGCCTCCTCGTGCTTTCGGGTGTCCATTCACAGCTGCCCCAAGAGGGAGAATGTTCTGTCCCCTCTTATCATTTCATTCAAGACAGAAACGAACACCCGTGTAACACTGGATTAGTGTTCTTTTACCTTCTCTGAAACATTGATGCACCATCTCTTCCCCAGTCTTGCATAGAAATATAATTGTCAAGTGCAGTTTTTAAGCAGGAAATGTTGATGATTTAAACCCTTCATAATTATAATAAAGAACATTTCAACAAAGGACATTGACACACTGCTTAAGTCTCTCTTATTGCAGAAGGATATGCCTTTATTGGATGAGGCCCATAGGCTTTGGTGTAGCTCGCTTAGGAAACTTGTAACAGTGATACCAGAAGGTCTCGTGATCCTTCTAGAGGAGAGACTGTCTGGCAGCTTCCAATGGGCTTCTGCAAAACTGAACATACAATAGATGACAATGGATACCTGGGAATGAATGAAGGATGATTGCCTCCCCTCCTGGGTCCTAATCTTACCATTTCTGTTGATCACAACAATTCCATTTCCTGAATGGGTAGACCATACACCTAAGGGCACTAAGGGCGTTAGCAGCACCCAACATAACTAAGAACCAATCTCCACCCCTTCTAAGCTCCTTACCCATTTAACACAACTTTTGACCCTTCAGTTCCATCACATGCTAGCCATGTGACTTTGGGAAAGTTAACTTTCTAAGCCAGGCTTCTTATCTAAAAATGGAGATGATTATAGTACCCACAGGATGGAGTCATTGTAAGGACTGAATTGGTTAATCCAAGTAAATTGCCCAGTGTAGTTTCCTAGCATGTAGGAAGCCTTAAACAATTGTTAGTTTTAGTGGGGAAAAAGCAGTAGTGTTTCTTATCAGGACGAGTAGGAGATGTAAACGTTGTTTGTCCATGATAAAATCCCCATGTGCTCGTGAGTGTGAGAGCACCAGCCAATCAGCAGTGAACACCCCCAGTTGAATCCAGGAGTTCCTCAAGTCCTGGCTGCAAAAATTCAGAATGGCACTGGCCTTCCCACCATCTGACCTCAACCTAGAAAAGACACCAAATGTGACTTCTCTCCACAGTAAGCGTGCTCAGATACAGAAGAAGAAAATAACTATTACTCTATGTTTATGGGCCCTTACTAAGTGCTGGCAGTAGCTGAATCCTTTGCATTATTACCCTGTTTAATCATTACAACAACTTTATGAGACTAGCATTACCACTGCCCCTGTTTTTAGAGGAAAAAGAAAAAAGATGCAGAGACATTAAACAACTTGCTTAAGGTCACCCAACTGTTGAACAGCTGACTCAAGATTTGAGCCCAAGTCTATGTGTCTTAAGTCAGTTCCAACTGCTTTAACAAATTACCGTAGATTGGACAGCTTAAACAACAAACATTTATTTCTCACAATTCTGGAGGCTGAGGAGTCTAAGGTCAAGTTGCTGGCAGATTCAGTGTCTAGAGAAGACTGCCTCCTGGTTTGTGTATGCTCATCTCCTCATGTCCTTACATGATAGAGAAAAGCAAGCTCTCCTTTCTCTTCTTATAAAGGCACAGATCACATTATGAGGGGCCAACCCTCGTGACCTGATCACCTCCCAAATGCTCCACCTCCTAATGATATCACACTGTGGTTAGGATGTCAGTATATGAATTTGGCAGGGACACATTCAGTCCATAACACTGTGTATCTTCAAAATGCCCACAGCGTTACCACCTTGCTGTTCTGCCACCAAGACTGTGACGTCTTTGGAGCAATATTAACCAGAATTCAAACCCAAAATGGAAACAAATCACTGTCAGAGGAGAGGAGGGTGGTCCTTTGCCCTTAAAGCAGGGAGAGACTAGTAGAGTCCCATTCTTCTGTAGAAGCCTCCCTGGAAAGGTGCTCCCTCAAACCTTCTTTCTTTTCTCATGCTGCCCAGGTCAAACCTAAGTCTCACCCCTTATAGCCCAAAGCCTTCTGTCTGGGGGACACCACTTCAGGACTTGGGGTTCTGAAGAAGTGTCTCAGCAGAAACCAGAAAGAAAAGAGAGGAATGCAGGGCCTGCCTGGGGCCCCATCCTATTGTGTCCCTGCAGGTGGGTCGGGGCCCGAGAGAGCAGGAGAGGAGGAGAGGGCTACTGGGATGGTGCACAAGGGCAAATGCACACACCACCCCTCTTTGTAAAAGGACCCGTTCACCCTGA